CATCTGATGGTTATAGTCTGCCCTTTGTATGTCTGTGAGAGTCACTGGCTTCCTCACACTCACACCCTCAACACATAGACTACTGCTCATCTGCTCATCTTTTTCAATTTTAACCACTTATCAATGTTTCTGAAGCCTTGGGACAAACTTTAACATTATGCAAACTTTAACATTATACACTTTTGCTTATGGTCTGATAAGTAATTCAGTAGCTACCACTTCCTGAGTGCTCTGTGGCTGTCATTGGGTTAAATGTTCTATTGATAGTACTGGGTTTTTTTTTTTCCCCCTCATAACAACCCCCTGAAGTAGGTATACTTACTGTCCTATTTTTTAAAAAACATTTTTAAAAGATTATTTTATTTTATTTGTGTGTGTGTGTGTGTGTGTGTGTGTGTGTGTGTATACCATGTGTGCCTATGGAGGCCAGAAGAGGGTATTGGAGCTGGGGTTACAGGCAGTTGTGAACCACCTAATGTGGATACTGGGAACTGAACTCAGATACTCTGGGAGAACAGCAAACTCTTAACCACTGAACCATCTCTTTAGACGCCCTTACTGCCCTATTTTAACAATGACAAAAAACTGAATCTACAAAGGAATTATGTCTCTCCACGTTTGTAATTTTGGCTCGCTTACATGGAGGTATATTTTACCAGTATCAATCCATCATCAGCTGTCTCCTGATTTTCATCTTTCTGCTCCATGGTTTCATTTCAGGCATTTATGCTCTTTGTTAAAGAGAAGCCACATCTCCTAGCACAGCATATCTGTACATACAGCGCAGGTTGGTTAACTACCCAGGTCACTGTGTTCTCATCGCCCCGTCACTGGATGCTTTAAAATGGCCATTTCCTGATGACAGTTGACAATAGGAATCATGTGAGCCATGAGTGCCTATGAGCACGTCTTCTTTGGAGAAATGTCTCAGCTCTTGAAATAAAAATGATGCAATAGATAATTTACACTTAAAATCTAAAATAATGCATATACATAGTACTATAACTTACACATTAGCATTTTATTGATGCTAAGTAGTCAATAGTAAAAATTTCTGTCTCGGGGCTAGAGAGGTGGCTCAGCAGTTCAAGTGCTTGCTGCTCTTGCAGAGGCTGAGTTCTGTTCCCAGCACCTACTTGAGGCAGCTTACAAGGGCTTATAACTCTGGCTTCAGAGGAATCGATTACCTCTGGTCTACCTGCACTCATGTGCACATACCTACAGACACACATACACACACACACACACACACACACACGTAACTAAAAATAACAAAAAAATAAATCTTAAAAATTTTTATTATTGTGTCAAAATCACTTTAAAAAAATTAAAATGCTCTGGGCATGGTGGCACTTGTCTTTAATCCCAGTGCTCAGGAGGCAGAGGCAGGCAGATCTCTGTGAGATCAGGGCCAGCCTGTTCTACATAGTCAGTTCTGGGCTAGCTGGGGCTATAGGAAGACCCTGGCTTACCCCCCCCAAAAAAACCCAAAAAACAGCAACAACAGCAACAAAACAACAACAAAATATAAAAATGAAGCTCAGAAAGGATGAGAAAATTTACCTAGGGCCATGTAACTGGGAGAGTCTAGATCAGAGTTTCAAAAGCAAATGTCTTTGTAATTAATAGTAATTTTCATACATCTCTGTGCAAGAAGCTGTGAGACTAACACAGTAAACATATGTTCCAGCAATGCCTTTCGAGTCCCACCTCCAATATCACGTACCTATCCCTAATAACTCTCCTGCTGTTTTGGAAACCTTGGAAATTGCCTTTGTGACTTCAGGACTTGTGAGAGGGTCTCTGGAGTGTGACTGAGTCTCCGTTGGAGTGGGTACTATTTAACTACTCATCCTTTGAAGTCACTGACTGGTAATGGAGCCACTGAATCAGGCCTGCTGACAGAAATGGGGATGACTGGATGACCGTGGTCAACCAGTGGTATTTTAAGTCTTAAGGGCACCACTTTCTTGAGCTGACTGTACACAAAGTAAAGCATCCAGAGGGATATGTGTGAACTTCCTTGGGTGATAATTTTAGGAATATAAGACATTTATGGAAACAGAACTGCCAGAGATTAAAAAGTAGCCAGAACCCAATCAGCTTCATTAATACTAACAACCTGAAACTGTACAGAAGTTTTGTTGGGACATCTCAAGGATTCTTAACTGGTCACTCAAGGCAACATATGGCTTCTGGGAGTGTAAAAATGTTTGTGTGACCTTTTAATTGCACGTACACGGCAATATTTTAATAGGCTATGCAATGGAGCAGATTTTAAGCTTGGTAACAGTATGAGTACTTTAACCACAAACGTCCTATATCCAGCCACAGGGTGTTCAAATTAACCCCACGCCCTCTGAAGGCATGAGAACCTTTGATCCCTGGGGTTCACACTCTGAAGGAACTTTGAATTCTAAGCACTCTTCCTCCAGGCATCTCAGGTTCTTTGCTCCAGTTCAAACACCCTTCCAGTCACTCCCAACCCCAAATAATGCTCTCTTTCTTCAAATTTTTATAACATTTCAGTGAGTCTCCCTGGGCACCCCTAGTCAGCTGCCTAATCACTCTCTGTGACTAGCTTTGCTGTCATTTAACACAGTGTGCCCTCCATCAGCAGAGGTGCTCCTGGGGATATGATGCTTGAACTCTTTGGAGGAATCTCCTCTTGAAATAGCAGCATAAAATATTCTTAAAGTTTTGAACTTCTTATCTTATTCTTTTCTTTCTGTATCCTGATTGCCCTGATTTTGAATTTAGTCACTGCTTCTGAAGCTTATTGTAGACTGTTTGGTTTCAATCAATTTGCTACAACCAGATTGTACACTGACTTGCCCCTTTCCTAAAATTAACTCTATTTCTTGCTAGGCCTTGACCTAAATTTGCTTCTCTGTGTGTAATGCTGAGCTATGTCTGCTTCTTAAAAAATTGTTTTTTTAAAAAATTGAGCATTTGTATATTTCACACAACAATTCTTAATTAAATTTAGACCCCCTACCCCAGCCATGGCTCCCCAAACCCCCACTGGACCTCATGTATTTGTATTCCGCCATGCATGTGAAGTCCTATCCAGTCAAACATTTGTACCCAGATGTCCTTCAGTGCACATTCATCCACTGGGGTCTAGTCAGCCCACCTAGAGATCGTAAGGCCTATTTTCCCTCAGAGTAGTAATCAGTCTTCAATAGTTCCCAGACTAGCGTTGACCCCACCACCCATTTCTCTCACTCTACTCTAGGCCCTTCCTTGTCTGATTGAGTTGGCATGGGTCCTGTGCTCGATGCCACCATTGCCACAAGATCACATGTGCAAGCTTCCAGTGGCCTGAAAGCCTCTGCTTCCCTGTGTTCATGAACCAGTCCTCGCTCTTACAATCTTTCTGCTCCCTCTCACACAATGGTCCCTGAGTCTTGGGTGGGAGAGGTTCAATGTAGGAGTCCTATCCAGGCACACATGAATCCTCATATTTACAGACAAGGCAGTCTCTTATTCTTTAAAACTTGGCCGGTTGTATTAAAAATTTTTTTTGGCCAGTCGTGGCCTTCTGTGTGCACCACACTCTGTTGTGTAAGGAAACTTCACTGGTGAGCGTTGAGGGCTGCACTAGTTTTCTCTCTACCCCTCTTTCTGCTATGTTCCATGAGCCTTAGGTGTAGAGGTTCTACTGCAGATGCGTCACCTAGGACTGGGCATCTCTCAGGTGTATATTCTCAGTGTCTGACCAGTTGTGAAACTCTGTAATAGCCTGCATCTGTTCCAAAAAGAAGCTTCTTTGATGAGTGGTGTATATATACTTGTCTGTAAATATAAGGATTCATGTTTAGCATATGGTAAGAAATTTCATCTGTCTAGAGATATGGAAGAGATAGGGTTTTCTCTAGGCTCTGTGACCTCTCTAGTCATGTATATTTGGCTGTGTTTAAAAATAGGGAACATTTCAAGAGTTTGCGTGTCATCCTTGCACAGGGGCCATGCTAATCGTCAGTATTATTATAATTTTAGAACATGCTGAAGCCAGCACTATATCTACTTCCTATACTGGGGCTGCTACCCCAAATGAACCTCATCTGTCAAGATTCTGTCTCAAGTCACAGCAAGACTTGGACAGAATGGAGGGTGGGCATCTCTGTAGCAGCTGCCTGTTATCCCTCTGGTACTCTGTGTAGGTGGGTCCCTAACAAAAATTTTGAGTGGAATAAGTTGATGGCAAAGCAATTAGAGCAGCAGCTTGATATGAGGAAAAGGAAGTATTTATCAGTGAACACTGGACGTGCTGTTGTCAGAGGAGGCACTGCGTTAGGCACAGAGAACTCTAAGATGAAAAGATACAGTCCTTTTCTCAAGGAATTCTCACCCTATTGGATGTCAGTTGGAGAGAAAGTCTGAGTGATAAACTTGAACTGAGAAACTACTAAATTGGAGATTTATTTGCCATCTAACTCCGGTGAAATCTCCAAAATGTTGGGGGAGTTACAATTCCCGAGCTAGAAAGCTCTTGGTACTGGTGTGGAATGATGATTCAGGGAGAGGACACTGAAGCAGGTGAAGGATATGGCAGGGGAAGAGAAAAGCACAGTCCACCCTGCTGGCAGGGCTGCTCCTTCCACGTGGGGTGAAAGGAGAGCTTCCTGAGAAAATTAAGCAACGATGATGATCTCTTACTGCCACAGCACAACTTTAAAAATAATAATAAGCACCCTGATGTGAAATGCTTCTGAAGTGCTGATTTTTTTTTTGAAATAGAGGCCCTATCATTCCAGTAAACTTGAGCTTTTACATAATGGCACAGATGGTGTGGTCAACAATTTTTGATTATGAAGCAAGCTCTAAAAAAAATAGAACCAAAGCGATTGTCTGCTATATAAACTCTAAGTCATCTCTCAGGATTCTTTAGTGACGCAGCTCTGAGGGCGAGACTAAGTAGGTTATCTTCTTATCTAACTCAGGTGGCCAACTCAGGCAGCTGTGTGAGTGACTAGGACTTAGAGGGGAAGAAGGAGATGTGGGTGAAGTGCATGCTGAGGTATGGGTTGCTCTGTGCCACCGTGTGTCTTGCCTTTGCCAAGCACCAGCAACCTCAGTCTTTCATCACCAAAAACTGTCATTCAAGGAACTCACTGTCCCAGGCTGTTGACTCTCTGTATGTCAAGGCAGCCAGACTCAAAGCAACAATTCCAGTAAGTATTAAACTATGCTTAGTAGGGAATTAAAAAAAAGGGATATTATGATTCTGAAGACAAATTATTTTTCTTTGTTTGATTGTAGGAAGACCACATTAAAAATATACGATTATTAAAAAAGAAACTAAAAAGCGATTTATGGTAAGATTAAAATCCTTTTTATGTTCACTTTCTACTGGTTTGATGTCATTTTTCTCTGCAGTTTAATTTTTCCAGATAGTTGTTAATTAATAGTCTGGGAGATAGTCCAGTGACATCAGAAACACAAACGATTCATGGTTTATCTTGTACAACTTCATGTATTTTGTTTGTAGCAAAGTTGCAGATTTTAAGAACAGCTTCTGTCCTTCTTCATGGAAGATATTTTGGTCAACCCTACCCACATATTTGCATGGAAATACGCTTTGTGGAAGATTTTCATAGCCTTAGACAGAAACTGAGCCAGTGTGTAAGTATATAAGACAAAGGGGTGAGTTTTGACCTAAAAACCTTAAAAACCTAAAAACAGCATGTGGAAAGCTGCCTCTACACTACTGGATGAATAAAACTGGCTTTCCAAAAACTGGCTTGCCATTCAAAAGGAGAGGCCACCTCCAGGGGAATGGCTCCTAATGTCATTCTTTATTACTTCCTAATGAATGCAACATAATTGAAAAGAGCTGGGATAACGTGGGATGCTCCTCAGATAAATAGGTAGTTTAAGAATTTCTTTGTTCTATAATGAAAAAGGTATGATTAACACTTTTTGACTATGAAACAAACTTTAAAAAAAAATAGAACAACCGAAGGTACTCTCCCGAATTTAAACCAAAGGTCATCCTTCCACAGCATCTCATCAGCCAAGCAACACCACCATTTAATAGGTATTTCTTGAGCACCAACTTTGTGCCAAAACACTATTCTAAAATGCTCTCTCTTCCTCCTTTCTCTCCCTTCTCTCATCTCCTCTTTTCCCATAAAAATTAGAGTGTTTTTTTGTTGTTGTTCTTTGTTTATTTTTGTTTTGTTTTAAACAAGAGGTCCCTGGATAGCCCAAATTTCTCTCCAACTTCAACTGCAGATCCTCTTGCCTCAGCCTCCTGGGTCCTGGGATTACTTTCAGGTAGGGCTACCATACCCAGTTGAAGATGAGACCCCTTAGATTGTCTTTTTCTTATTTATGAATCTAACATCTTAAGCATAGTCACAGTCCAAATTTAAAAAAAAAAGGCATGTCTTACTTCATACCTAAATTATCTGATGCCTCTATATTGTCCTTGGCACATTGAGCAATGGGGAATTAGTTAAGAAGGCAAAAGTGACCAAGATGCTTCTAGCCTCTTGGCTGGGAGTAGTGTGAAGGTGGGGGTGTTGACGACTGGGTGCAGCCTTGCGATGGATCCAGATGCAGATGTGCTCTAGTCATATCTTTGAGACTGAATGCTGAGCAGCTGATGGTGAGCATTTTATTTTGTCAGTGTTAGGATGTCTTTTCTTAAAGCCTGACATTCTCATAATCCCAATTTCAGTTTAGTGCCAAGGCATTTTGGAAGGGAATCTGGATGAATCTTTAAACATTTTCAGGAAATTCACATTCCCATTTTTTTTTTCTGATTAGTTTATGTTTAAGTTATATCACTATTTGGGACTTAGGTTACATGGTTTTAAAATAAATTATCACATTCCATTAAAGTAGAATTAATAATAATAAAAACTACAAGCTAGTACCTCTTGGTGGAAGAGAGAGGGGGAGAGAGAGTGAGAGCGAGAGAGAGAGAGAGACCTTTAAGTTTGGTTCCCTTGTTTGAAACGCTGGAAAGGTTATCACTTATCTTTGGTTTATTCCATATTGAACCTAAACAGTCATCTTATTAAGACCACAAAGGCTCTTACATGTAAGCTAAATTATTATCTTTTTACATTTCACTGATCACCAGTTTATTACGCTGTTGCCCTTTCCAACAAGAGAGTTTTACACGCCAAAAGATGCGAAGAAAAGAAAGAACAATATTGAAGGAATAGTGAGATGTGAGGTGTGCCCTGGGGAAGTTATCTGAAATGACAGCAGAGCCTTTCCTATGGCAGTGTCTGGAGCACAGGGACCCCAGAATCTTTTAAAAATGGGGGCTAAGAAACTACAACAGACCAATGTGCAATAAGAGACTGCAGAATGCTTATCCTTGAATTAGACACCTGTATCAAACTTCTGACTCCCAAGGCTCAGGTATCATTTCTGGAGAGGGGGCAGAAAGATTGTAAGAACTAGACGATGTGGATGACCACAAGGAAACAGAGTTCTCCAGACAGCAGGGAAGTTATTCATATGCACTCACAGCAATAGTGACAGCATGCACAAGTACCATGGAAGTTCAAGCCAGATAAAAGCCCAGCATAGGCATGGGGAAGGGGGTAAGAAGCCCCAACCCTACCTGAGGATCTATTGGCAACAGATGGCTGCTGGGAGGGGGAGAGATGGTCTCTTTTAAGGGTGAGACTCTTGGTAGGTTAACTAGGTTCCATTGGATGAATCTGCAAAGAAGAGTATTAGGACACAAATTTGACTCTGTAAGTCTCTCTCTCTCTCTCTCTCTCTCTCTCTCTCTCTCTCTCTCTCATATTACATGGAGTTGTGCATAGGCTAGTAAGAGGAGTGCAGATAGGGAAGGAGATCCATATATGATCAAAATATATTGTAGAACTCTTTTTTAAAAATATTTTATTATTTTTATTTTATGTGTATGAGTGTATTACCTGCATGTATGGGGCAGGAGAGATGGCTCAGCGGTTAAGAGCACTGACTGCTCTTGCAGAGGACCCAGGTTTGATTCCCAGCATCCACATGGTAGCTATGAACCGTCCTTAACTCTAGTTCCAGGGAAATCTGAAGCCCTCTTCTGGTCAAAATATATTGTATAAAATCTGCAAAAATTCAATTAAAAAAGAAAACATAAGGGGTTTAAGAAATAGTGTTCTCTTCCTGCTAGAACATTCGGTTTCTTTTTGGATTATTAACCAGTGCACTAACCACCCAATTTAATTAGTGTTACTCTAGATCTTTAAGTGCAGTTTACAAATGATGGTGAAGGTGACAGAGGTCCTTCCCTGGACCTCAGTCTGTGTGCGGCTACCTGGACCCTTCAAATCCATGTCCTCATTAGCGCTGATTTGATTTTGTTGACTTAAATAGCAGAACAGACAATAATGGTCAGAACTAAAACACTATTTAGATGATAACTCCAACTCTGCTTTTCCTTGATTTGTTTTGAACAGTTTTCCCCTAAAGGAATCTCAATCTGTCAATACTGCAGCATCTTTCTGCCCGTTATTAAAGTGAATGGCTCCCTCTTGTGGCCAAATATGAGCATAGCGTCCTATCAGCCTTCCCCAAGGGCCACCCAACGCAGGGCTTTGCCCTGTTTTCATTGGACTTGAACCTCTGATCTTCAAACCTCCACTTCCCGAGTATTGGGATTACAGCCATGAGCCACCACACTCGGCCTGAGTCTTGTGGGTGATGTTTCTACAGAACCTTGGTGTATTTAAAAACTAGTGGATTCTTTTTCCATTGTCTGGAAGCAGGAAGAAGTGCCCCAAGCTTGTTTATAGGACTCTGGTGATGCTTAGTCTGGTGTGAGACCATTTGCAAATAGGATCTAGAGCTACGATTATAATCATATTGTTGTTCAGTGCTGCCTGTGTTCTGAATACTTGATTCAGGTAACAGAATTTTGATGTGTAACTTAGTTCCTCAATGTGAAGACTTCACATTTGAAATGAGGCCAATAGCAAACACTAAAAATCTGAGCCCTCCCCTTTCACCACCCCCCTCCCCAAAACTTGTAAAGAAAAAGATGTATAAATAGCAAACAGATGTATAGAAAGCTTTATATCAAAATCAGTTCAGACTAGATTGGCTCTGGTGCGCTTGGACCAGGATGCACTGGAATATATATGAGGTTAGAAACTGTACAAGTTTGATTGCTGTCAAGGGGAAGAGAAATTTATCCTGTTATTCAGTGAGAAGTGTACCTGTTGCCTCCTGCAGGTGGGGTCTGAAGTTGCTATATGTGTTGATCAGAGGCGTGTGTGTGTGTGTGTGTGTGTGTGTGTGTGTGTGTGTGTGGTCTATAGTACATACAGATAAGGGTCTCAGGCTGCCAAATGCATTATGTAGAAGTCGGTAGGGAGTATGCATAACAATCCATATAGAGATCTAGGTTACTAAGCTATTCCCTGTGGTTGCCTACCTCAACTTTCCCCAGTGAGACTTTTCTCTCTCATTTGTTAGGGGAGCTGAAGGCAGGTCTTTCTTGGGACTTGGCAGAAATAGCCTCTCCTGTTTTGTCTCTAAAGATTTTGTATTTCTGAGGCCCCATTGGAGAGCATCCATGAAATTTCTCAGCCTGCTGGTTCAAGGTTGAACAAATGTCTTTCTAGGCCTTAGTCTCATGAATGTCCCTCTTTGTTTCTGGTGGCGGCTGCTGGCGGATGACCATTTATAATTGGACTTATTAGATTCTGGAAGAGTTATCTGTGTAAGCTTACTGAGAAGAGGAAGGCCAAGAGTACAGAAGAGAAGCAGGGAGAGGATGGGTTTCACCAAGGGAAGGAGTGCTGAGCATCCACAGGACCTAGAGAATGAAAGGCTACTGTCCAGGGGTTTGTTTAATCTGTTCCCTGAAGGGTATTTTTGATATTCTGACAGACCTTTCCAGATTCATCAACAAGAAAGGGCTTGCCTAATAGTCACAAGAATGCTAGTTCACGCACAGAGGTGGGCAATTAGTACATACCTCGAGGGCCAAGATGAATTTTGGCTCCCCAAGCTATAACGTTCTAGCTCTCCATACTCAGAGAAGTTCTTATCTGTCAGTCAGCTTTACAGATTCTTTCATACAAGTGCCTTTTTGTGGGATTGGGAGAAGATTTAAGCTCACAGTTCCCCCTTCTGGCCAAGCCCACCTTTTGTGTATGTAGAAGTCATGTATTGTCTTATGTGCCATAGTGCTAGGAGGCTTCTTCCTAGGTTTCATATAAATGAGACAAGGGTGATAAAGCCACTAAGGAAGAAATCCCTGGCTCATACCAGATCTACCAGTCATCATGATTCAGGTCTGATTTTTTTCCTCTATGCCTGGAATTACGTGTAGCACATAGTAAGAATATTACATCTAAAGTTAAAATAATCAAGAGCACAGCATGACCTAAAGCAGTGGAGGTAGCAGGTGAAGGAAGCAAGCCTCCTAATCAACCAGAAACCCTCTGCATGAGTCAGCACTCCGGCTATTCATGCTGTTTGTGTTTTGGGATGAGACCAAGGCATCTGGACTTGTGTGGTAGTGTTCCTTGGTATGGGTAGGTGATCTCATCCTTGCTGAACGTTTGTATCTTTGTTTGCTGTTTTCTCAACTTGTTATGCTATGCTAAGTAGTGCTTGGTGCTCCGTTTTGGGGCCACTTTATGTTGATG